ACATATGTTATAGAACATATGAAAGAGTGAATGCCCTAGAAATGTCCTAGTTGATATTTCCCCCAAAACAATTAGAAATTGTTGCAACTGCTAAGCTAATGAATAAAATGCAAGAATTAAAATAAATAAAATAAAACTTTAAAAGTCTAAAAACTGTAGGGCTAAAATTAAGGAAAAGATTTAGAGATCTATCGGTTTGATTACGCCTGGGCAGAATACTCATATATTTTTTTCTCAGAATGCAAAAATAGAAAGAAAAATATTATCAAATGCCACTGGATTGTTGTCAAGGAAAACCAACAAAAATGATTACTTTAGCAATATAAAAGTGCTCCACAAAAGTGTAATAATCAACGGTATTAAACAGCATACCACAGAGTATCTGACAAGGTGCCCATGTTATATAAACAGCATTTATGGACTTTCACAACTCAAATTTTCACTCTTTATGAGCTGTGTATAAATTTGGGAAGTGGTTGAAACCACATTTCACATCTAAACCCCTCATGAGGCACCCTGCCAAATAAGTGTAAATATCCTTGGGAAATCTCACAGCTCTGTGGAAATGGATCCATCTTTTGAATAGCTAAAAATTGGATGTTTTCCTTGGGATTTAAGTAAACATTGTTCTGGGAAACATAAAGAATTTCTGTAAATCCAGAAATTTAGGCTGGGTATTTTATTTTCTTATACATAATTATCATTCTGGAAATTATGTGTTGTATCTGTTCTTTTTGCTAATAATTTGGCTACTGAATATATATTATATAAAACTTATTCTAGAGCATGGATCAAACTTCATCTTGGCCACTAAAGGACTGTCTCATTCATATTTTGTCTCAAAGTATTTTGGCATATCAATGTATTCCACACTCAGTTGCAGAATTTCACTGAAATATTATATTATTTCATTAATGTAATAATTTTAAATGCTACTACCTGAATTTCATCTCACCCCATTTCCAAGTGTAAACTTCCTAAGATCAAAGGACTGTGTCTTATTCATCTTTGTGATCCTGATACCTACCATAACACAGTTACTGTAAATGGAAAGAAAAAGGAAAGAAGAATGGAAGGAAACAATAAAGGGAGAGGGAACAAGAGGGAAATAAAAAGGAAAGAAGGGGAGAGATGGGGGAGTGCAGTTAAATTTTCTGTTCAGAGAATGGCAAATAGAAACTTCTCTTCTCCAGATCACTGTTAATGACTGTTATGGTTGTGTCTAGATGTCCCCCCAAAGCCTCATGCAGTCTTAGGTGGGGCTTTTTTAGAGGTGGCTGAATCTAGAGTGTGTGATTGATTCCTGGTGCAATGCTAGGATTAAGGGTGGGTGATTATTGAATCAGCCCACTGATAGGTTGGGCATTGCCCTAATCCTGGTAGCCTGGATGCAATAGAAGGGACTGGAAAAGGTTTGTCAGGTCCCTTGCTCCCTTGTTGCTTTTGCTGTCTTCCCCTGCCATGAACTGTTGCCCTTCTGCCATGTGCCTGTGCCTTGGATACAGCCAACTATGGACTGAGAACTCTGTGAACTGTAAGTCAAATAAACCTTTTCCCCTTTAACTTTGAGTGTTGGGTATTTTGTCTCAACAACAAAAAAGTAACTAACACAATGACCCCAATTTGAAAGTTATAATGAAACCATGAGAATAAAATTCAGCCACAGTCAATACACAGATCTAGGGTGACTCAGAATTCCACTTCTTATTGGCACTGTCACATACCCTGTGGCAGCCACCCAGTCAATGTCAGTGGTCGACAGCCACCTGGATGGGTAACTGTAGTGATGCTACATCACTGAACATGGCTATAGCAGAATGTTTGATGTCTTTATGAGTGAAAGTCAGTGGGCTACCCTGGAGTGGGAGAAGAATAGCAGAGAATTCCTTCTATGAGAGCAAATGAGCACACTGCTCAGCAGGAGACTCAAGGACATAGTCATTAAAGGGAGCTTGAAAATTCTCTCCTAATGGATGAAGGGGGCAGCATTCTATAGCTGTTTTAAACATTCCTCTTTCTATAAAGAAATTTACATCAGAAATATGATGAAAAATTTGTGGTCATCAGCACATTGAGAGCTAGGCAGGCAGAGTGGAGAAACAGGGACAAGGATATAAAGTCAGAGAATTAAAAAAAGAAAGAAAATTAACTTCTAAGGTCCTAATGCAAGTGATGTCTACCAGCAACAAACCCATATAATAATAATAATAATAATAATAATAATAAATTTAAAAAGGAAAAGAATAAGATACTTTATATTTATAAATCATTTCCATGAGTATTAAATCAGTGATCATATTAAGGCCAAATGTTTTGACCCTCTTTTTCAAAAAACCTATTTTTCTGGATTCTCTCCTTTGACTTATTTTATATCTGCACCCCAGCCTGAATCTCAGCTCATCTCCTATCCCCTCTAGGCAGCCACAAAATCCTAAATCAAGGCCATGGTAACCAACAATTTCCAAAGAGAACAGCACAATTGAAAATTCTGCTATTTTAACCTGGATTAGAATGAAACCCACCGGGAGATGGAGGAAATGCAGTATATAGATAGAGCCTCTGGGAATTTGGGACTGATAGGATGTGATAGATTTCCTTGTCATCTTTGGTTTCTGTGATTCCATGAGATTCACCACAACTCAATAATTTGTGCTTGTAACATACAGCAAGTGAAGCTAATAGACAACTAGGTTCAGAAACAAACTACAAAGGGCCGGGGATTTAGCTCAGTGGTTTCGCTGCCTGCTGCACAAGCGCAAGGACTCAAGCTGGATCCCCGGTTAAAACTAAAAACAAAAAACAAAATAACTACAGCCAGCATGTCAAAACTGAATCAAGAGGACAAAACTGAGAAAACTGAGAAAAGTAGGAAGCTATCCAAAGCTGAAAAAAAGTAGAAAGTAAATCGCCCCTAGTTATAAATTTCAGGCAGGACGTCACCTCCACTTCTAATCACCTTTCAATGCACGGTGTACAGTCTTTTTAGTTGAGACATTTTTCAGATGGAATTTGTGAAATTTAGGTCAGAGTATAACCTCTATTTACTTTGAGTGACTAGACACATTTTTAATTAAATAAATGGAGTTAGAAAAGTTGCAGGAAAAACACATGAATGGGTGAATAAATTATTATCTATAAATTAAGCCTAGCCAATTATGGTTCACTTAACATTTGATATTTGTTAAGCACTTACCACATAAAATATTTTAATAATTTATTTACTAAACATAATTTCAAAAATAACAAAATGGAATTTTCTTTAAGCTTTACATGAATTCAATAAGTTCTATTTTTCTGTTAATCTAAATAATGAGTCTATAGTTAAAATCATATCATGTCTTTGTGTCTATACTGAAAATTTTAGAAATCCCAGTTAAAAAATTATGGTATGAACAATATTAATTATGTTCTGCATTTAAAAGCATGATTAATTTCAAGATTTAGAGAATGCCATGATAGTTTGTCCCTACCCAAAGTCATTTCCAAACATCTTATCTGAGGTTTGAACAGTAAACCCAAAGAAAAGGAGTTAGCATGATTTGTTTTGCTAAGAAAATTATAATTAACACCTCAGTCTTTATCATATACCTTACTTTTCCTGGGGAAAATTCCCAGCTTCTGGACATCAAGGTCAGCCCCCTGGGGTAGGTTTGTAGTTTCAATAAATATTTAAAATAAGTCACGGATAGAAAGAAACATGATTTATGTGCAGCTGGAGTGTATAACAATGATAGTGTAGTGTAAATTCTTACTTAGAATTTTAGGGGCAAGATGAAGCAGTACACCTGAACATGTCTAGGATAATCATCTGCCCTCCTGTAGTATCTAATTTGGAGAACTGTGTATTGAGGGAAGTGTTCCATGATTATCTTCTCGGCCTGATGGGGAGATGTTGGAGTACATCCCAGACCACTTTCATGGAGTAGGTCCTCTCCCAAGCTCATGGTGTGACTCAGTCTCTATTCGGACCTGTATGCATAGTGTGGGTTAAATCTATGGGATTCTGAAGGTATAAGTAAACCCCAACTTTTAAGTTGGCACAGAAGCAACTTTAAGGATCTTTGGAGTTAGAAGATATCCATGAGACATACCACATCAGAGAAAGACCTCGAAGCTGTTGGGCTCCTTCATCACTCTGCGTATACCAGGCTGAGAGACAAACCTAGTCTCTAGAGCTGAAAGTTTGTTAACTTTTTCTTGCTCTCAGCATGTTCTATCCCAATTCTGCACAGGCATTTTCGCCAATAATAGTGAAAATACTCTAACTTGAGTTAGAGCTCCAAACCAAAGAGAATCCAGGACCTTTATGTAATTATAGCCAGCCCTTAATTATTTATGCATATGAAAGAAAATAGTGTCTTCAATAATAAAATGACTATTTATGTTTAACTTTAATATGCATATTTGGAGTTTTTCTTTTGTTTTTGGCAACATCAACAGACTTACTTTCCTAATTATGCTTGACCTTACTTAGTGTCACAATTAACATTCGCTAAGCATACACACACAAACACATACTACTCACCAAATGATGGTGGGTGGAATGCCCAGAAACATATTGTAGACTAGGGGAAGGTGATCTGAGATTGGATTTTGGCTGCCAGCAATTCACACACTAGATTATCTGAATCAATAAAGAGTTGGCTATATTTATACTAAGTTCTTCTCAGAGCCAAATAATCACATGAGCCAGTTCTGATCCATAAAATATATGTAACCTAAGTAATTGCTTATTAAACTAAGTCTATGGCATAAGAATATTTTCTCTGAACCAGGATTACCTAGTTTGAGTGTTGATAGCAATCCAATAAAGATGATTGCCAGGTCCCTCTAGTACTGGCTGCTACAGGCCTTTCTTAAGCATGGGGATGTCTGGACAATGAAGCACAAGTCCCTTCCATTTCCAGAAAATACCATTCAGAATTGCTCTCAGGTTGCCCCGGTGGCCTGGCCCGCTTGGCCCCTCTGCCCCTGCACCCCGCCCTGCCTCGGGCGCTCACCTAGCTTCTCTTCGGCTTGGCTGCTCTCCGCAGTATCCGTGGGAGGCTGGGCGGTCGCCTTGGCGGCAGCATCCTCTGCAGCAGGGGTGGTGGCAGCAGCAGCAGCAGTGACAGCAGCAGGCACATCGGCTTGTTTAGGCTCCTCCTTGGCGGGGCCGTCTTCGGCCTTGGAGGACGGCAAGTTGTCGGGGGAAGCTTTCGCGGCACTTTCTGTCTCCACGGAACCGGCCTTCTCCTCGGCAGCCTGGGGGGCCGCCTGCCCCGGGGCCGCGTCTGGGGCGCCCTCGCCCTTGCCCTTCTCCTCCGAGGCGGCGTCCCCGGCCTTGCCTGGCTGCTCGGACTTGGGGCCGACGCCCTTGGTGACCTCGGCGGTCGCCGGGCCTTCTCCCTCCTTCTTGGCCACTCCATCAGCTACAGGGGCGTCTTCCTTCTTCTCCTGCTCCTCAGCCTCGGCAGCCTGGGCCTCGCCCTTCTTCTCTCCTTTGAGCTTTTTCCTCGTTATGTGTCCACGGAAGCTCGCCTGAATTTTGGTCGCGGCTTTATGAGCTTTGTCTTCGGGTTTGATGCCATCTTGTTCAATCTTTTGGTCCTCGTCATTTTTTTCAACCTTCGTGGAGAAAAGAGGGACACAAAGGAAAGCTCTCTTGGTGTTCTTTTCCTTCAAATCACAGCATTTAACCTTACCTATTGAGCAATTTATGAGGTGCAAAGCACCTTAATTGGAGTTAGGAATCCACAATACCCTGGAAGTTCAAATCAAGCCTGCTATCTCTCCCATGGTATTCTATAGAGAAAACTATGGTCTTTCTGACATTCCGAAGTACTGCTATTTCACATGTATTTCCATTCCCTAGCTCAGTTGCTCTACTGCCAGATTTTAGCCATCCTTTTTAAAAGATGAAGGAACAAGAAAAAGAAAAGAGAATAGAAGAAAAAATGGAAACAAACTTTTGTAAATAAGGAGAGGAAGAGGGGTTGAAGGGAGGGGAGGGGAATGAAAAAAAAAGAAGAAGCAAGGCATATCGTGTACAGGTATAAATTCCCTAAGATGAATGTGATCATTATGTATATCTAAATGTACCAATTTAAAAAAAAATGTATCATTACAATTCAATATGTTCTAGGTTTTAGTCAGAGCATTCTGAATGATACTGTGTTTTCAGGATTTGTGGAAACTCTGTAAAACTTTATAATTTAAAAAAACATTATGTAAAAGTCTACATTCTCCACTAATATTTCAAAATTAGTAAAGAAATTAATATGTTCAAGAAAAACAATATGGTAAAAGTGTAGACAAAATCTAAATGAATTCCACTGCTTTGAGGAATTTGTACAGAAATTGACAACTCAGAATGCTGGTCACAAAATTATGTCTAACTTCCTCCTAAGTGTGGGCCAACATCAATATGAAGCATACTAGGTCTGTACATTTCAGGCATTAAAAATACTCATTATTCTATTTCCATAGAAATAGAATCTTCTATAAAAAGTGAAAAATACTATTTCCATTTTTTCAAGTGATATATAGTTAGTAAATTAAATTTCTTATTTCCAAAGCAATTTAAACCTAAAATTAGTTTTCTAGTATCATCAATAAAGTAGTCCTGGTACTAAAAAAAAGAGATGAGAAGACAAAATTTTTAGTTTTTGAAGGCAATATTTACAGCTTCATATGTGCTGAAAGTAACATTTATTTGCTTGGAAATTAAATTACAAGATAGAACTATAAGAAATAGGCAAGTAGAGAAAATTCTAGACAGCTCTATTGTTCAGTAGGGTGCTCCAACTGGCTACTGATGGTCCCCATTCCTTCCTTGCTTCAACTTTTGAGCATTTAACTTTTGTTCACATTTGTGAGTACGGTTCTAGACCTGGGAAATACATAACAGTGAACAGGGAGCAATGCAACAACTTTGTTGAAAAGCCCACTAATAAAAGAGTATTTGTCATGTACCATGTCCCATGCTTGGTCCAAATCTGCCCATGTCCTTGACCTTGGCCTTGCTCCAGTTTAAGAGGTAAGCCACAGCAGCCAGCAGCCAGTATGTTTTGCACCTGTCATACCAGCCCTGTCCCAGTGACCCAGATTCTGCTAATCATGACATAGTACTATTTGACATTCTTCGGACAAGCACACAGACCTGCCATTGCTTACGCCCATCACCATGCCAATGGATACACAAATATATTTTTTAAAGCAAGATATACAAGAGAGTAAAAGCAGCACTGACAATTTTCTCACCAAACTTCAAGACAAGTCTTTCTTTTTCCTCAGTTTGCCATGCATGTATCCATACAAAGAAGGAAGGAATAACTGAAAAGCACTTTGGCGAGGGCCCATCTGTTTCAGCCTCCCAGTGCCGTGATGCAACTGCTTTCTATTTCTTTCTCTCTCTCCCTCCCACCCTCCCCCACCCATCCCATCTTCCCACCACCCTGCTGTTCTTGATGACTCCAACCACAATCTGGGGCATGGGAGCAGCTGTCCCTGCCAGGAGCTCTCCCCTCAGAGATGGAATCATAACCCTGTAAAATTAACAGTTGCAAAGGGAGCACAAAGCCAAGATGTTACTTATTTTACTCAATCTTGATTTTCTGAATGAGACATTTTTCTTATATGATAGAACAGCTGTACTTGGGCACCGATGCCAAGTAGATCTTTAATATGAATGTTGCTCCTTATGAAAGAAAAAAAACTGATCAGAGTGGGCAGGTGTGCAAGAAAGACCCCCTAGTGACTCAAGAAAACTACCACTTTAGAGCCCTGTTTTCCCTTTTAGAAAACAAAGCATAGTGGATAAAACTCTTTAAAAAGTTGGAAAACAAAAATTAGAAAACTGAAGGTTTATAGATTATAAAGATTACAAGAATAAAGAATTTTCTACTCTCTCTCTCTCTCTCTCTCTCTCTCTCTCATTTCACAGAGCATCTACTACTTTGACATTTCAGATGACCAGGATTTAAACTTCGCTACACAACATCTATGTTAAATAGATTATCTAGAAAGCCTCAGACTAGACTCAGGTGCCTAGATTGTGGGACTAACCTCACATGAACAATCCAGGAGTAAAGGGATGCAAGAGGGGAATATGTGGGCAAGAGGCAAGAGAACAAGTAAAGACCAGAGTTAAGAGAAAGAAATAAAATTAATGACACAAGAACCAGATATTTCACCCAGTAGAGGAACTCAAAGTTATAGTCAAAGAACTTCATAGGCATGGACCTGGTCCTGGAGAAATTGCTGGACCTCTTAACACCACAGAGATTTAGGGAAACTGGATATTGGGGGTTTTTTGGAAGAAACACAACCAGTATTATAAAAACTTTCCAAATAAAGGGAAAAATAGAAAAGCAGGGGGTGGACAAGGGAGGAAAAGAAGGAAATGGAGAGGGGAGGGTAGAAGATAGGTGTAAAGCTTGGATTTTAAACTAGACAATGCTGGTTCTCCAGAATCGAATGGCACTAGATATCTTAACAACAGTGCAGGAGGTACCTGTGCAATTGTAAAAGCTGAATGTTGTGTATACATTCCTGATACTTCTGGTAATATCTCGATGGCTGTTCAAGATATTAAACAACAGTTTAAGGCCATGTCAGATTCTGAGATTTCCTGGGACTTCTCCTTATCCTCCCTGTGGAAGGCTATTACTAGCTCTTCCTGGTGGAAACATCTGTTGCCTATACTCACAATATTCCTGTTGATCTTATTGTTTGGCCCATGTATACTTAACTGTCTTTCTGGCCTTGTCTCCTCCAGACTCAAAGCTATAAGCCTACCCATGATGGAAACACCTGATGCCTATTGATGCCTACTGATGCCTTTAGATAGGTCTTCTGAAGGGTATCCTTGACTGGCAACCACAACTACGACCCCCTTCAGCCTGAAGTAGCTAGAGCGATCATCACCCCTTGCCCCCTCATGGCAGTTCAGGATAGTTCTTCAGAAGGGGGAATAGTATAGATAGATGAGCTAGGTAAAAATACTATATAGGCAGTCAGATAGGGCTAAGTCCTTGAGAGGGCCAGGACAAAGGTGGAACATACCACAGCTGCACATTGGCTGAAAACCAGGCCTCAGGATGGAAACAAGATGACCAGATCCACATACTTCTCCAAAGAACTGGGCTTAGTGAGGTATAGATAGGCATCAACCACCCTGGGGGTGACCAGAGACTTTTGGACCCACTGCCTTCCTAGGAGAATCCTTGTTCTTTCCATCAACTCTTGCTATGTGACTCGCTTCCCAATTGGACCACCATTACCTAAGTGACTATATTTGTAACCTTACTGGATGTTCACGGTTGTGGCCCACATTGTACCCACATGGGTTTCACCCTATAAAACTTCTCTGTAAAGTGGGGTCCTTGGGCTACCCACTTGGGACCCCTCCTGCCCCTCAGGAGCTTTCCTATCAATAAATGTCTCCCTACTTAAAAATAAAATAAAATAAACTAGACAGTGCTGAATTGGGTGTATATGTCGTTGTTTAGTTTTGTAACTGGCTTTAAACTGGCTCAAGCTACAGGTTATTTTCCTGTAAAAGTCCCTTTTCCTATTTAGAATAACTGGACTAAGAGTATTTTGTTGAGGGAGGAGAAAAGAACCAAATGAATGCTGCTGTAGCCCAAGGTGTCAGGCTGCTTAGAACTTTTTCAAGATGAAATAAGTTAATTTACCTAAGACAAAGGATATTTGAGCCCAGAGGAATTAAGAATCACTCAGCATATTCAGCAAAATCCTTTCAATTTCTAAAAGGGAAAGCCATGGCTCTGAAAAATTAAGATATTTGCACAAATTAATTGAGTGAGTGAGTCAGTGGTCTGGCTTATATTTGAATTTAAGTCCCTTCCTCCAAGTCCGCCTAACCCCAAGTCCAGTGTTTTTGTTTCATTGACCTAGAACAGCTTGGAGTTTCTCATAGCAGATAATCCGTAAAGCATCATGACAGCATTCTCATTCACTTAATCACTAACAATACTGAATTTCTGTGCTAAGCACTACACACACTTACATTAGTGAGGGGATGGCTACATAAATTTCCATGAATGCCTAGCTTTCAGAACTAAAAATAACACCATGCATTTTTACAGAACAGTTCAATGCATTCAACATTTTCAATTATCATAGGGTTATCTCAACTTTCAGAGCAAAAAAATAAATACTAAGCCTAGTATCTACTTGTGCTGGCTATAAATAGTACTTTATAATACTTCACATCTTCTGTGAATGATTGATTTTTAAGTAATTTAAAAATTATTGATGTACTAGTTCTTCATTCTGAGGACCTCTTTAGTAAACCAAAATTTATTGAGCCTATTTATTGAGCAAAAGATATTTTTGAGAAGCAAAATTGAAGGGTAGGCGATACCCTGAGCAATGTTTTCTTTATGCACTATAGGTTTTATGCTTTCCAAAATCCTGTTTAACTTCCAAAATACCAGAATAAAGTATTGCTGTATATGTATATATGAGAAATATAAATAAATAAATAAATATATATATATATATATATATATATATGAAATCTGGCAAATACCTACTTATGGCCTATTCTGTTTTTTACTAATAATTTATTGAGTTGAAATTCATGTAATAAATTTCTACTG